TTGAAATGCATGGAAGGTATATGTTGCACTCAGCTAGCAATACTAGCTACTTACTATTGGTCTGGCACAGCTTTGCAAGAGATCCAAAATTTCTCTTTTGTCTTCTCCCTGAGCAATAATAACAGGGGTTTTCCCCATTCTGTGCAAAAAACCGTCTGTGAGCTATATGGAGGTTACAGAAAGACAACGCCCTTACTTTGTTACTGATGTTTGGGTTAGCTCCCATAGAGAGTAGCCGTTTAACCAGTTGAACTTTGTTTTTCTTGAATGCAATCAGAAGAGCAGTATCCCCCTCCTATAGACGGAGGGGTAGATGACCCTACATATGTTTAGCTTGTGAGAGACATACACTATTCTGAAGATCTAAGTGGGAAGAAGAGTCCATACGGTCCAGTAGAGCATGCACGACCCTGTCCAGCTTGTCGTGCTCAGTAGCTAGCAGCAGAGCATTTGTTTTGTTGACCTGTGCATTAGAGATGAAGTTCATGCAAACATTAACAGTAGCAAGGCTAAACCTTGTGTTGGATATGTGGAGTTGCTCCAGCCTCGATTATCCTCAGAGCAATGTCCCCATGACCTTTGTCCACTGCTTCCATCAGTGCTGTCCACCCTTTCTATAGTAGACAATACAGACAGTATTAATTTACTGACAGTTAAATCCGAACAAGACTCACTGGAGTATGTATATCAGGGTGAGCTCCTCCCTCCAATAATACACCAACAGTACGATAATGCCCGCTTTTTGCTGCTCCCATTAGTGGAGTCCAGCCTTCCTATAGATAGAGAAATTTGGAGAATCAGTATGAATTACAGTCATCCTATAATTTTTGGGGAAGTGGGTATGGGGGGTATAAGAAGGACACTAGGTAGGGGTTGTTGCACATGTGGCACTCATGACATCATCCAAAAAAACCCAATAGCTGAGGTGGAAACGTTTCGTCACTCACGGACATTTCTTTAGGTTCTCTTTGGATCAGAGTGTAAAAGGTAATGCGTGCTGGTTATTCACTACCACAATAAAGAACACTATCTTATACACATTAAGCTAATGTCCTCACATCATTTCCAAGGTTTGGATCAGCTCCTTCTTCTAACAGCAGACATGCTATTTTGTAGCTTCCTTTGGTACCACAGGCCACAATCAGGGGAGTGGTCTTAAACTGTGTCATAGACAAATGCAGTCTTTGAGCATTATACAAAGAAGTTAAACAATACCACGGAAGGTGAAGGATTTAAGTCAGCTCCGTCACGGAGCAACGACTCCACTTTGTCTCTGTCACCACTTGAAACAGCCCGCATCAGCGCCTGGACAATATTAGAAGAGATAAACAACATTCAATCTAAAACTCTAGTTATAACTCACTAAGGGGTAAAATATATACTTGGGAAATTTTGAGAGGTTAGAAGTAGGTCTAGGTCCCTGTGCGAAAAACACAATAGTTTAATGGGCTTAATACAAAAAATGGGGTCCTTACTGAATGACTGCAGGACAGAATATGAAGGACAATACCAGTGAGCTTTCCCACCCATTCACAGCCTTTGTCCTTATGACAACAGAAGACTCAAAGCGCATATATTTTACGTTGAAACTGTTTGTTCAACATAGTGCTCCAATGAGTTGCCTTGCACAGTGGACATGCTCCTCCCTCTCTCTGTATCCTGATGGCAGCTAACTGTGAGAAATGTTGCCCGCAGCACGATGTGAGGTGTGGCTGGAGCAGCAAATCTTTTAACACAGGGCAGTATAAGTTACCAGGTGACTGCTCAACAAACAAATAATCTTCTTCAGGTGATCTCGGTACAGTTTGGGCTCTGAAATAACCGAGTAACATGATAAAGACTTCATTAAACCACAGCGCAATTGTCTGTAACCAAAAGCGAGGGTCTCATATGCGGTGCAACTACATGCATATACATGATGGATTTTGAGTTACATAAAGATCATGGTAAATAGCAAACTGAGGAAAAGAGATTGAATGCATGCTTCACTGGCCATACCCTGAAACAGATAGTACAGTGGGTCCAGCTGACATTTCACTGTCTGTTGATGGAGTGACATGGACCACCTGTTAGCGGTGAACTGTCATAACTATAGTGGAGTATGGCCAGTAAAAACCCACCTCCTGGGCTTCAAGTTCATCAGCAAGACCTGGTAGGTTCACTATAGGACTCCTAAGAGCCTCTATTATAACCCTCCATGTTGGTTTGGGATTTTGTTGCTTCAGAAATGCGAGGATAATTTGAAGAAACCGTCCATGGATGTCTAAGTACTCAGAGTGAATGGCCTCCACTTCATGGAGTGGCAAATTAAATCTTATACCCAGGACAAAAGACTGGGTGTGTGCAGATGCCAAATTTTCCACTATCTCTTCCGTATCGGCTTCAGTCAGTGTCTTGTCGAGTGCTGCAGAGATGTGAGAAGTACAATGAAAGGAATGCATTGCACTGTTTCTTGCTTAACCTTCCGTCATACTGAAACCCAACACAGCAGTTTTTCCCTGTAAAGAATATGTGAAAGTTACATCACAAAAAAATTGCAGTCAAAGTTTGCCCCAGAAAGGATTAGTTAGCTACTTACCCAGGCATGACCAAAGTGTACATTTTCCCACAGACTGACATGCAAGTATAATGCTATACAGCTATGAATATGCCCAGTGATACTCGTAACCGGACCACCCATGGACTAAAAAAACATTACACAGAGATAGAGCAACCATAACAGTCAGTAACGTGGGGTTAGGGGGAACTCTGACTGTGCATGGTTTGCACAGGAAACGGCAACCGAATCCACGGTCTAAAAAACGAACTCGGCGCCCCTAGTAATAGATTGTGGATTCTTACTGAGAAGTAAGTATAGCCAACACTAATAGCCCCCTGGTAGACGGCGCGGGATTCACGTTGCGAGCAGAAAAACATTGCGGAGGTAAAACGCGAGTCAGTGCAGGTCGCTCACTGCTGCATCGGTGTTCCCGAATTGATTCACAGGAGTCGATATCACTGAATCACAATAGCTACATACTCAACTAGGTGGCGTTGTTCACATGAAGACCAACCCTTAGCGTAGCTGCCAGTATATAGACCTTGTGCGGCGGCGCATACGTGACCATCGCCGCGCCCGCACCAAAAGGATCTCGTTCGACACCATGTAACAGTTTACTAGGAAAAATACTGAGAGTCTTTTGAGTCTCAGTTATGGATCTATTCCGCACCATATAAACACATGAATGGTGTACAACATGCACACAATACAGTACACAAATCCTATATAATCCTTGGCCAAATCCCTGGTGTGGTGCTTGATTTTGCTATGCTGTCTGCGCGTTCATTACGCATGCGCATAATTGTGGGTCAAAGGTTAGCGCGTGCTTTGACTGTGCACACTTGTACGATTTGCGTCCGAGATCACCTACCTGCTACTTTACTGGAAAGAGACACACAGGGATGGCTCAACAGCAGCAGGAGGAGAAGGAGAAGAAGTCGTTCGAGCGGCTGCCCGTGGACGTGGTCCCAGTCAACTACAAGCTGGAGCTGACGCCAAACCTGACGGCCTTCACCTTCCAGGGCCAGCTGGAGATTACCGTCCAGGTATGATGTGCCGTTATAATCCACGTCCCCTGAAATCCTCGTTCGAGGGCCCGTACTTTAACTGTGGGTAATCACAGCTACACCCAATATTTGAATTGGGGAGCACTCACTTTTCGGTGTGTGACAGAATAACGAGCTCTTGCAGGGATATGATTTCTCAGTTCCATTTGCCTACTTGTCAGCTCTAGAGTCCCACTCTAAGTGTTAGTATATGTGAAATTTCACCAGCTGTCTGTGTGGGGCCATTCAAAACGGCGTTCTTATGACGAAAATACAGGTCTGACTGCCCCTTTGATTCGCCAATGCAGAACACGTAACTAAACTTGGGTTCTGTGACGTGCAGGTTTGCAAGGCCACTAGTGTTGTTGTGATGAACTGTGCGGAGATCGAGATACAGTCGGCCAAGTGTGTACAGGGAGATCTCGGTGAGTCCTGCCCCACGTGGTTGTCTGGTGTAGTCTCCTGCCATAGTTTCAGAGGGAGAACAGTCCGCTTGAGAACTAATCTGGTAAACGTCTCATGAAGAATTTAGACAAAAATGTTTCTTAATGTGTCGAGAGTATATACATATGTGGTAGATTAGCATTTACTCCCTTCCGACCCTAGAGATGGGGGCCCGGCAGTGTGTGGTTTCTAGTAGTAGGTAGTAATAGTACTATACGGAGTGCATGACCTGTTGCAGCACGAATGCAAAACGTATGTCACGGCACGATACAGTGGCGGAGATAAGAGATTTTTGAACGTGACGTCACATCCGGAGTCTCCGTTCGGGCTCCAGCCACTGATTGCGTTCTACGGGAAATGGAACCGTCCGACATAAGAGCTGGCGTTTGCAGCACGTAGCTTTACGGTATTGCATCCATTAATAAGTACTATAAGTTTACGATTGGCGATATTACAGTTACGTAGTGTGTGTGAGAGAAAAAAGAACGAACGCTCTAGCTGGTTCCTGTGCGGAGATCTGGGCTGAGCATGAGAAAGGAATTAGTTATTAGGATCATGACTGGAATCGATGTGTTCTGTGTGGCTCTACACGTGACAACAGATACTGAAGCCCTTTTTCCAAGTTAAGCTGAGGCTCCTTGCTCGGGTCTCCACCAGGAAAGTGTCGGCTACACAGCGAGAATATGGTTTTTTACAGCTAGCTGTAAATTGGCAATCCCCTCGCTCTCGCCGGTTTTTTCAGCCGTGAACGGTGAAAGAGGCTCAGGGAGCCGTAAACGCAATACATTGCAGAGCCCGAACGAGACTCCGGATGTACGTCACTTCAATTTAAAACTAATGCATTCCTTGTGCCGTCGTGCAACTGGTCCATTGGAAGTGTGACTCACATGACTATGTTGAGTTGACGATGCATGATCCCCACATAAGCCTGCCGGTGGTGGCAGCTTGCTAGACCTACTGGTGTATATGCATGTATTGGCTCCCCTGTTGACTCTATTCACCAGACTCTCTGGGGAGGATTATGTACGAGTGAGAAAGCTATATCCACGTCCCTACCCATCTGTAGGATGCAGACAGGACACCAGCTAGAAGAGGAACTACTATCAGAGCGACCACAATCACCCTAGTGCCCGCCGCGCGCGCCTTTGCACATAATTTGTTTTGGCATTTTGTTTTTGGCACACTCCGAGACTAGTCATGGGAACGAGTATGATGTCGGGGCCCTGTAACGTAGTAGCGGCCACGCATTGCGGATGGAATGCCACAGCCGCCAGATCTCTAGCCGTAAAGCCACGTTGATTCCATGAGTCTGGCTGCATGTGAATATAATGCTTACTACAGCCAGTACATCCTGCCTAAAGAACTGTCCTTCCCTTTGTCAAAAACGTGCAGCACTGGCTGAAAAATTAAACCCAGTTTATCAGCGCGAGCTCAAACAGGCCAACCATGTGTTGTGTTAACTTAAACTGTCCGCAAGACGCACGTATCCAATCCCTCCTCTCGCCCAGTGGCAACTGTGACCTTCACCGAGGCGGGAGGAGACTGTGGAGTCTGGAGTTCCCGACCCAGCTGTGCGCCCACGGGATAGATCCACTCTGACCCTGCAGTACACAGGAAGCTCAACGACACAAATGAGAGGGTTCTACCGCTCCAAGTACACTGACCCCACTCCCCGCGATGAGCGAAAAATATGCGCCACGACCACGCAGTTTGAGAGTGCTCTCTGTGTGATGATGAGTGTTATGACGCCGATAGCTATCAGTAGTGGTCAATTTGCTTCAGATCTACGTGTCCACCACGGGCCGGCCGAATCACCACCACAGATCAAATTTGCTTGGTCGTTTTGTTCCGTTGTGTCTGGTAGTAGGCTGGACCAGCTAGTCTACACTCTGTTGTCTTGTTGCCAGCCTATCCATTGTCAGCTGACCTGTGGACGTTTTGTAGAGGCTGTAACCATGTTCGTCTCGGCGCTATTAGCTAACCAACTGTGAGTCTTATACTCCCTCAGTATGGTGCGTCACAGTATGCATGTCCAGAGTATCCTTGGGTTGAAGGTGTAGTGTAGTTTTATGCTCAACACAGGAGTCCTAGAGTCTGTGCGACACTCTCTGATGTGCCGAGAGTGTGGGTTCAATTTCATACCTTTTCACGTTTGATGTCACTACTGCTTATGCTTGAGCATATGCTTGACCCCACCATGTAGTATACATCGTGTACACATCCAAGCCATGTGTTAGTAGAGTAGTTTCTCAAGTCTGAGTATGTATGTTATGCCCCTGTCGCCAAACTCCACTTGAGCTATCCTATCTCGACCCTCCACTCTGTTGTGTCCTACACTCTGACACTCAGGCGGCTGATGCGAGGCGAGCCCTGCCATGTTGGGATGAACCAGCTCACAAGGCCACCTTTGACGTGACCTGATTGTCCCCAAAGACAGGGTCGCGTCTCTAACATGGTATCAGTGGTCACTAGTGTAGTACTACGCCTAAACGAGCAATCGTGCAATTTCTGTATTGCTGAAAGCAATTTATGCACCTAGTATGTGTTTGGTTTTATGTTGTGGCCTCTAAAATGTTCATCTAGTCTTGGATTCCTGATCTGAGACTCTAGCACTGCTTTGTGTACATATTTGTGTGAGCCAACATAACTGTAGTAGGTCGTCTGGGTTACTGTTGTCCCATTTTATAAGAGACGTGTCCCCTCGAAACTGATTTCTGAAGAATGCACTGGTGTTACTGTAGTAGGATATACTATCACGCATAGTACCTAGCGAATGCAAAGGTGTGTGGAGTCTCACCGAGTCAGTTATTTTGACGATAGCCACCATGTTCCTTGTGTCACTGACTAGAACGAGGAGTGTGTGGAGTATGGAGGGGTGACTGAAGAAGGTCACATTTGCCGTAACATCATGTCTTCCTACCTCCTGCGCCTGTCATTGTGCCGGGGAGTTTGACTCGTGCGAGGACTACTGACTCCAAGCGGAGTGAGGGTCAGAGTCTAAGACTCCAGTCGCGGAAGGCCAGACGACGGCAGTTTGGCTCTGAACGGAGTGTGACTACATGTCGCATAACTAAGCCATTGCTCCACAGTTTGATGAAGTAATGCTAGATTTACATTAATAAAATATGCTGCTTCATGTGACCATCGCAATTGCACTCTGACCAGTGTCCTAAGGTACTTTTACCGAACAGTGCTACAGTATCTTCTCTCTTTCCTTCCTCTCCTCCTCCCTCACCACTAATCTAGCCTGCATACCAGTGGGTCTTCATCCTTCCCTCCCTCTCAGTTCTCTCTCCAGCGACTTGCTACAGTAACAACACATGCTTTAGTAGTAGTACTCTCGCCACTTGACCTCACGTACACTGAGGAAGTGCTACAATATAGAGTGCAGACACGTCTTTTCTTTTGGCAGGTGGCCGTCAAGCTACCTTCCGTTCTTACAAGACTGACTTCAAATTGCCTCTACCCTCTCCCCAAAATGCGACTCGAATTGCCATTCAGGTACATTGGTGTACCATCATATGATAGTAACATGATGAAGGCAACGGGATGTGTGCTGAAGGATTGCAGAAGGGAAAAAGAAGCTGAGTCTAAGAAGAATGGATGAATGGGGACTGGTGACTTATCAGGTGAGTTCCGTTGCATGCTATTGAAGATCCTCTTCTCCCTACCCTACTCTTCCTCCTTAAAACCAACTTACCATCATCAACTCCTCAATGATTTATCCCCCTAAGCAAAGTCCGAATCTTCCATCTCTTTTACCGCATGGCAATCTCCCAGCCTCCCCTCATAACCCCTACCCCTCATAAACTATCCCCCCGACTCTCAGCCTCCCCCCTCTCCCCCTCTCCCTCTCTCCCTCTACATTTTCACCCTTCCTCTCCCTCCTCCTACTCCCAGAGAGAGACTACTGTTGGTCAACCCAGCCTCCTCCACCATCACCAAACAACTGGTGGCCCTTGTGGTTGGTGAGTTTCTCAGGAAAACTCTATCATAAAATCCGTACTATGTATCTTTATGGTTGATACTGTCATAATCAGTTGTGTGTATTTTCAGATCTTGTTTCAATATGCTGTGTAAACTTTCATTCTCCTATCTATCAGGTCATGAGCTGGCTCCCAGTGGTTTTGGGAACTTGGTAAGACCCTAGCTGTAGCAAGTAGTAGTGCAGCTAGAGAAGTGGTGTGTCTCCATTTCAGACAGACTCCTCATAGTTTAGTGTGCCCTAAAACTGGTGTTAATGTCACCATTAGAAAATACTTTCTCTATGTGCATACCAGGTTATGTCCATCAATATGTACAAACTGAACTGAGGGTCCATTTGAAAAGTGGAATAGCCAATCTGCAATGACAGGAATTCTGCAGCTTGTTTTAGAATCAGTCATACCCAATTCAATGGACGGTTGTATTAAAGTGTCAGATGAGTGTCATAGTGACTGTCAGGTGAGCGGATGGAGTGGTGACCCACGCTGGCTCAACGGGATTCGCACGCATGGATAGAGTCGCCTGTGGAGTGTGGACTCACACCCACACCCAGAGTACGAGATAGGACCAACATCCTGTCCCGAGAGTATGCCAGTGTGCCGGAGTGAGTCTGGACGCGGCCTGCGCCAGCCGACCCACCCAGCCGTAGGTCAGGTTCCTATTGTCTCTACCACCTTTGCCTACAAGAATGCCTCCACTGGTTAGGATTTTAATTCTGAGTGTCTTGGTCTGCTTCACCTTGTTTTGGCGAACTGGTGTCTTAATATATTTGCTAGTTGTAGCAGGTACTGTATTTGGCCAGCTCCGCCTTGCAAGGTTTTATCTTCAATGTATATACAACTTTAGACTTCTTAGTCTTCACTGGCTGTTTTTTTAAAATTTTTTATAGTCTCTCGCATTAAACTCTAGAGCTGAAAGCAGCCCAGTGCAATGTCTGCCTGAATGCTAGTAAAATGGCAAAAACCAGAAGAGGAAGAGTTACGAACAACACACAGTCACAAGCGTTATGTAATATCTGTGTGTTAGATAAACTGCTTGTGCCTCCTAGTACGTAACCACGGAGACCTGTGGCGCATCTGGAGACGACCTCAGGGAAGCCGGTGGCTGACGTGATGAGCACTTGGACCCAGCAACTTGGCTACCCTGTCATCACTGTGGAGGCCAAGCAGGTGAGAGCACACACTCTCCTGCCACTGTGTAGAGTAAAGAGGATTATAGTTTGAATGTGCGGTTTGGAAGGCGATAAGTATGTATCTCTGGAGGAGGTGGGCAATTTGCCCTCCCTGAAAATGGTGATTTCTCCTCTAATGTGAAAGTATTATAACCTGGGTATCTACAGTTAGTTTCCCACTTCTCCTTCTGTGGTCCTTTTAGTTCTGCAGGTTAATGCGACTGTTATCTTCAATAATGCACCTTTTCTAGGCCTATTTTGCTGACTCCTCAAGCCCCGAGCCTGTTGACTTTCCCCCTGACCAAGTTTTCTCTCTCTCTCTCTGTCTCCTCTCAGGAAGGTGGCAATAGAGTCCTCACTCTATCTCAGAGAAAATTCTGTGGAGACGGGAACATAACAGGTCAGGAAAACCTGATAAACCAGTTTGACCTCAACTAGTTGTGTGTGTCTGATAGGATTTGAGTCCATGCTATGGAAGGTGCCCATCGTCATAGCAACCAGGGGAATCCCCAGCTGCGTCGCTGGTGCTGACAGAGCAGTCGACTACCGTGACACTGGAGGGAGTGGGGGAGGGTGACTGGGTGCTGGTGAGTTGGGGGAGGGAGTGGGGGAGAATGACTGAGTTGGGGGAGGGAGTGGGGGAGGGTGACTGGGTGCTTGTGAGTTGGGGGAGGGAGTGGGGGAGAATGACTGAGTGCTGGTGAGTTGGGGGAGGGAGTGAGGGAGGAGAAAGGAGAGAGGGAGTAGGAAAGTGGAAGAAGATTGGTTTGGCAAGTAGACAACAGAATGAGAGGAAGAGGAGCGTATTCAAAATTCTTGTAGTGCTTGTGCACAGCAACTTGGCCGTGGAACTACAAAGTGCTACAATACTGTAAAAAAAGGACCTTCTGAATAAAGGACATCTATTATAATAAAGGTTCTGTACTTACATGTATATCCAAATACGGGACGCCTCAATATGGCTCTGTTCTAACATCCAAAAAGGGGCGCCTCTGAATAATACCTGATAGACAAGCAATGTTTGTGTGTGTGTGCAGGTGAATCTGGATAGGGTAGGTTTCTACCGAGTGTCCTACTCCTCTGAGCTGTTCCAGAGTCTGACCCCTGCCCTCACTAGCCACACCCTCTCCCCCCGAGACCGCCTCGGACTGCAGAATGACGCATTTGCCATGGTATGCACTACATTATACGTATACACATTGCCGCACTGCGAATCAATCGAGAATCAGCAAAATTCATGATTGATGTGTAACAGCAACTCCCCCTTTCTCCCTTCAAAGAACAGCCTAATTAGTGACCATGAACGACATCTGCATCTCATCGTGTTTGCATTTTACGAGGCAAATACTCTGACAACTTGTTTTTCGAGTGCCCAGTTGGACGTGCTCCATTTTCATTGCCGCTGCGGGTGATTTTGGCGGCTTTTGAAAACGGCCCCCACCTGGTCCTTTCAGAGCCACTCTGTGGCATTTTCATCACCACTTCCATCCGTTTCATACAAAAGTGTTTGTTTACGCTGTACGTGTCCACAGCGACACAGTTTATGTATTGCTGAGGGATTCACTACAACTGATGTACGTAGGTTCACAAGGTGGTACATGCATGCTTGAAATTACTGTGTATCGTAGATTGGTCTTCATTTGACGTATGTACAGTATGTTCCACCCTCCTCTTTCTCTCTCTGGTGTGTGGCTGCAGGCTCGGTCAGGAGTTGGTAGTACAGTTGACGTACTGGCTCTGTTCGCGTCCTACTCTACTGAGACCAGCTACACCGTCTGGGAGAGCCTGGTGGGTCTCACAACTGATCTGCATGTACAGCATGTATGGTGCTCCATGGCAGTTCATATTGATAGGTTTTCACAATCTGCCAGTCCTCAAAATCAAGTTCCATGAATATTTGGCACTTTAATAATGTGTGCCTCTCATTCTCCTATGATATTCTCTCTTCCTCTCTCTGTCTCTTTTCCCCTCATTATTCCACCTCTAGGCTGGCAACCTGGCGACCATCAGTCGTCTTCTCTCCCACACTGACTACTACCCCAGTTTCAAAGCCTATGCCCAGAAGATATTTGAGAAGGCAGTGGCCAGACTTGGCTGGGACAGCAAGGACTCTGACAGTGAGTGTGAACTGAGGAAACCTCTCTCCTCTTCCTTTACTTCTTTCCCCTCTTCTCACTCCTTTCCCCCTCTCCCCCTCTCCCCTCCTCCTTTACTCATTCACCTTCTCCTTGCCCTTCCTCCCTATCCATCTTCCCTTCTCTTGCCCCCTACCACTCTCCCCTCTCTACTCTTTCTTTTTGTGACTCCCCCATCTACTGCTTTCTGTGTCCCATTCTCTTATTAACCTTCTCCCTCTCAGCTCCACTGGACTCAATGCTGAGGAGTCTGGTGATAGGAGCACATGGGAAGTATGGAAATCAAGCCACCATTGAAGAGGCTAAGGCCAGGTAAAAGTGCTGTTTAATTGAAAGCGAAACAAGCCTACCGATTCATCATCTGAACTGCTCGATTTTTTTATTTCAAGTAACAAGCGACTCTGCGCCATGAAATATTGCATGCACAAACATCGCGTATGTACAGCTGTTTTGAAGGCACTTTGTTCACCAAAAATACATTGCTATTCTTAACACTTAACCAGCCACGGACACATAAATGTGTCCATTGTCTCCATAAGCAGCAAGATTTTATATGGAGGTTTATAATACTACATTGTACATCGTTTTTGCTTGTATATTAGTGGCGTGGAAAGGGTTCTAAGTCCCAATTTTGATAGACTGTTTTCAGTGTTTATGCAGTAGTATAAACCCTACCGTGTACTGTGCATGAAGGCAGCATTAAAACCTGTATATAGATGCACTGCATTATGATAGATTAATGGCTCAAGCCCAGCACTGTACAGTATAATCTTGGAAGTGTTGACTTGAGTGTTTACCGTTGACTTGAGTCTCTGCCGTTCTTCCTCAGGTTCCAGAAGCATGTTGAAGGGACAACTGTGCTGCCATCAGACCTGAAGTCAGCAGTGTTCTCTATGGCCATGGCTAATGGAGACGAGACCACCTTTGATCAACTGGTCAAGGTGTGCCTTTAGAGAGAGAGAGGGGAGGAGGTAGAGAGAGGGGGGAGGAGGGAGTATGTGAGTACATGAGTGCATGTGGAAAGCATTTTGAAGTAGCTCCCTCCTTGGGATTGTCATATTTTTGGGGTGTGTATGTATTAACTGCCAACTATCCACCCACTTTTAACCATAGTTATGTGGAAGGGGGGGAAAGGTGCATTTGCTGAAGTGTAAGAACTCTCACTTCATGAATTTGGTGTATTTGAGTGGCCGCCAGAACTGGGCTGTCAGCCCACTTTTTATAGCAACCACCCATCAGTAGCTCCTTCTCACATGAATAATAGTTTGTGAGTGCCTATATCACGAGATCGCTCCCTGCGTTATGTGTCATTAGTCATGTTTCCATTTACCAGAGGCTATCATGCGTATAGCTACAAAAACTATCCCACTGTATGAAATACGTTCTATAATGTTGCGACTTTTGTCCGCCCATCCACAACCCCCCTTCCCATCCACAACCCCCCTTCCCCTCCCCATGCACAGCTCCATGCTGACACAGACTCTAACGAGGAGCAGTCAGGATATACAGGTCTCTGGGAGCTGGCAAGACTGAGGCCCTCACCAAGAAATGCCTCGAGTTTGCTGTCTCTGTAAGCCCATGGGTTTCATTGTTTCATAGTGTTGTATATAGCATGTTTATGCCCTTGCTGGGATTTTTTCGCCTGACTATATTCCCTAACCTAAACACTCATAAAAAATATAAAAACATTTGTGAGCACAGCATCACATTAATAATGTAAGTTTGCTAAACCATGACGTTTGAAGTGACCACTCACATAATTTTCCTCCTAAACGTTACTGAGCTTCAGGCAAGTATACCCTGCATTTGCCCCCTTCTCTGCAAAATCTCTAAAGGGAACAGTGACAAGTGCACCTGTCGAAAGCACCTTTCCATAACTTCTGTACCACTGCTGCAGGACAAGGTTCGACCCAATGACCTGTGGAGTCTGTTGTTCTCTGCCAGACAGGCCAGTCCTCGGTCCAGAGACATGGTCTGGGAGTTTGTGCAGGAGAAATGGACATGGCTGAAGGAACGCTACCAGGGCAGCTTCCTGCTGGGCAGGGTTGCTGAGGTTTGTCAAGGGAAAGACAGAAAGGCAGAGAAAGGGAAACATGCTCAGCTGCTATATACATTGATACACAGTCCTAATGTGGAGATGTAGCTACATATATATATATTTTTTATAGTCCCCGATTAGCAAGTGGGCCGGGTTGGCTATCAAATGCACAGCCTCATTGCCACGCATGAGTGCTGCATGAAACGTTTTGTGTGAATATTATCACACTTTGGCAACCTATAGTCGCTGTTCATTCAGTGATTGCACACCAAATTTAAACTGTGCACTGTAGGTGGCCACGTCAGGGTTTGTTACAGAGGGGAAGGCAGTGGAGGTTGAGGCGTTCTTCAAGAGCAACCCAGCTCCCTCAACTGAGAGGGTGGTCAAACAGAACTGTGAGGCCATCAGACTCAACGCCAAGTGGCTGGAGAGAGATTCCAACGCCATCCAGGAGTGGCTCAAGAACCAGTGAACTCAGACTGAAATTTATTTGCATAGGGCGTGTGTAATGATCCTTAGAAATGAACCCTAGTTGGTGTCTCGGGCGGAAGTTTGGACAGCGCGACGCGCACGCGCATGCGAACGAAATACTTACTGGCAAACGCATGCGCGACATGTTCAATAAAAAAACTCCGAACGAACAAGGCTCGCTGCACCCGCGCATAATACCGTCGTCGTGAAACATCATTGTTTCGAGGGAAAATGCTGCAGTGCATTATTCTGACCCTACTGGGGGCGCTAGTCCTGACGGAGTGCACGGAGCTTCCTGAGGCCTGCAGACCTCGAGGTTAGAATTGCTACGCAGAGACCTTTGCCATTTTATTTTCGGCACAAACTGCAGTCCCAGACTGTCCGGCGGAAAATGAGGCTGAGCCAAATTGTCCCACCTGTTGCTGCACCTCCAGTTCAAATGTGAAATTCTACGATTCGACATCTGAAGAGCCTGAGTGTACTGCACCGCCAGCCATCTATGAAGTCTCCTTTACCTACACCCTGACCGAAGCCTGCTTCCCTGACTCCAATGCTAGTACAGCAGGATGGTCTCGACCGAGTGCATTCTCTCACAACAGTGGCTTCAGACTGTGGGATGCCTGCATGGACAATATCAGAGAGGGAGTGGCTCTATTCTCAACTACAGGGAACCTAGATGGTGTTACTGGTGAAGGTGTTCTTGCAGCTCTGTCCGCAAATACTGTTTTAGATGGACCAATATTTGACGGAAGTGCAGTCGCAGAAGGTGCTGGTGGAACATCCATATATCTAACAGTAGACAAGAACCATCAGCTTGTGTCAACACTCACAAGGTTAACGTCAAGCCCTGATGAAGTGGTGGGCGTGGCCGACCTTCGTCTGTGTGATGGAGACAAGTGGAGGGAGAGTGTGAAGGTCTGTTTCGAGCTCTTCTCAACTGCTGCAGCCTCAGACAGAGTGGCTGCCGAGATGCAGAGGAACAGTGTGCAGGGAAACAGCTGCAGCTTTGGGTTTGTAGATTTTACTCTCAGTGAAACACAGGTGAATTAAACAGTGTTCAATTATACGTAACTTAATTGATACAATCATTACAGGTGTTTGAGCAAAGGGGAGAGATTGCTGAAACTTGTTATCCAAAAGGTAAGGTAATATTGCATCTGATAATCTCTCCTCACTCGCTCAGTTTTTTAAGCCATTGCTATGTAGTGTAAACAAGGACTTTGCACTAGAATTGGTGCATTGATAAAATTTTGCCCACCTGCAACATTTTAGTTATTTTTTTGCTTCGATTGCTATACGGTTTACTAAAAAACTGCTTGGGTTTGTTGATTCACTAGCCATCTATTTAAATTCAGTTCCTGATGACTGCCCAACAAGTCCTACTTGTTCCACTTGTTGCTGCAAATCAAGTGACAATGTGGAATTCTATAACCCTGACGAACGTGAGCCACAGTGCACTGCCAACCCTGCCATCTATGAAATGAAGTTCACTGGCACATGGAGTGAAACCTGTAACCCTGGAGACTACAACAGTTACAGTTTTTTCAATCCAGTGTGGTCCCGGCCTGTTGGTGTCTCCCACAACACCAACTACAGGCTGTGGGATGCGTGTATGGATGACGTGAGTGTGGGAGTTGGACTAGTGTCACAGATTGGACTGACAGGTGTCCTCGTTCAAGAATTCACTGCAGCAGGTACCGATATCCTCAACTATACCATAGCCCTTGACATGGTAGCCCCGACCGGAGAGCTGTCTCAGAATCTGACAGTTGATAAGGACCACCAGTTTGCGTCGGCCATCTCCAATAGAGGACCCACTCCCGATCAGCTGGTGGGCGTGGCAGATCTTCGTCTGTGTGATGGAAACAAGTGGAGGGAGAGTGTGAAGGTCTGTTTCGAGCTCTTCTCAACTGCTGCAGCCTCAGACAGAGTGGCTGCCGAGATGCAGAGGAACAGCGTGCAGGGAAACAACTGCAGCTTTGGCTACATTGAGTTTAACCTTCTTGAGGTGAGGTTTTAAGAGAGAAACTTTGAAGACACTTGAAGACACTGTCTAATTCCTGCAGATGCAGTCTACAACAGGAGGGTCTGGTGCTGTCACAGAGACCAGAAGTGCAGCATTTGTTCTGCTGGTTGCTCTACTGCTTCTCTTTGTTTAGGACACATAGATTTGAACTGACTGTGTATGCTATAGCTAGTACTGCATCTGTAGACAGTAGACATCCACATGCAAAAGCACATTAAGTTTAGCTAACCTCCTTGATGTGAGATTATAGGAGCGAAACTATATAATCCTTGCAAATGCAGTCTGCTGGTGCAGGCACACTGACAGCAGTGCCATGGTTGTTCTGCCTTTGGCTCTACTTCTTTGCGTTGTTTAAAGACGTAGATGTGAACTCACTCTGTATAACATAGACTATAGACTGTAGATATCTGTGTTCGTTTCCTGCACATTTATGCGGATGCCGTACACGCGCTTGCGGCGGAAGCTGCGCGCGCGCAACTAGTATAATTATAGCATGTAGCGTGCCAGGCCGGGCGGCAGAGCCGGCCGCGTCACTTAATTATATAGCGCGTAGAATACAGCGCTCAATCAGACGCACACGTAGCAAGCTTGCTAATGTATATGGAGCTATTCAGAAAGCAATGTCTGATGCGGACACACCAATGTAGTGCATTACGAGTCATTCTGGCACGCTAGCACGCTAATGTACTGTAGTCTACAGAGCCATTCTGGCACGCTAATCATTCTGGCACGTTAATATACTGTAATCTATGAGCCATTCTGACACGCTAATGTATATACTTCAATCTACGGAGCCATTCTGGCACGCTAATGTACTGCAATCAATGAGCCATTCGGGCACGCTAATGTTACAGTACTGTAATCCACGGAGCCATTCTGGCACGCTAATGTACTGTAATCCACGGAGCCATTCTGGCACGCTAATGTACTGTAATCTACGGAGCCATTCTGGCACGCTACCACTAGCATAAAAGCTCCACAATTAAACCAATGCAGCGGCTAGCTAAATGTACACTAGTCTATGAGCTATTCTGGCATGCTAAATGTACGGTTGATGTGGCACAAGTAAGGTGGCAATCTTAAATCGCCCTTTTGTGCTAACCTGTGATGCACCATGCCCATACATTTTGAATGGACATACAGCAATTTTCAAGCTCCAAATCGAGCTTTATCTGCAGGTTATTGGCAAACGGGAGCGAGCTAACCTAGTGGTCCAAACGGCGCGATTTATTTGTCCGTCCGTACGTCGTGCTATTGCGCATGTGTCAGAATTACGCGCTTCTCAAATTTTTTACAGGCTCTTGCTGCTAGCTCGATGCCGAGCCAGGGAGAGAACTCTCGTCCATTCGGCGGCATTCGCTGCACTCTTTGGTGCCTTACTGAGGCTTGCAATCTTCGTGGTTCCAAGCTGCAAGTTGTAAGTAGCCTAGGTTGGCTCGTGCGGATACAATCATTGTGTGCTCGCTCCCGCTCGCCAATAATGCCGTGCATTCGCCTACTAGTATTAATAAGTTATGCTCTTAGGCTCAGCTTTGAAGTCCGCACGTCCCAACGCCGCGCGCGCCATAGCACACGGCGGCGCGCGCATTTCCCAGGCGGCGCGCGGCCTTGAGCCATGCATTCGGGCGCGCTACCCTGTAGCTAGGGGTGAAACTATTTTGCTCAAAAATCCACCTATTATTCTGCACTGCTAATAAATTATTTCTTCAATTACCCCCCAAAACTTCCAATTATTCTCTCAAAACTTCCGATTATTCCTTGCAAAAAAGTGTAATACTAATGTGAATTTAACCATGAAACAACATTACTCTAAAAAAGAAGCAGACAGAAGAGAGCTAGTACATAAACAACTCAAAGGACTCGAGTCATCGCTTGTTGTATTGTATATAGCATAATCGATGCTTCAGTGTAGTCTTGTTCTTGTAGAGCCATGTCTTGTTGTTCGTCAAAAAAGACGCTTTGATGAGTGAAAAAACTCCGGCTCCTCCATAGCCATTGAAGCTACATGTGTATATACAAGCACTTGTACTGACACTAGAGAAGAGAAGGAGAGTATATCAACTGGAGTTGCTGTGGCTATTAGCACAATCGTCTCTGTATTGGTGTCACTACCAGTGGGTGTGGTCATTGGTTCCTGTGGTACATTGTTTGCAATTCGTAGAGGAGCGAGAAAGAGGAGAGAGGAAGAAGAAGAAAGAGAGAGTTTGGAGCAGCTATCTATGAGGAGCCAGTTCATTCAGTGGAGGACTGCCATTCCTCTCTCTGAGAACCAGGCATATGGCCAGGTCTCCACTCAGAGGTAGTAGAGGGAGGTGGTGAACTGTGTATTACAACATTACAGTATTATAGTTATGTAGTTTTCATTCAGTGTACATCGTATATACAGTTTACCGTCATGTCAATTAGCTACTCTTCAATGATTTACTGAACCAATGGACAGCAGAAATTATATCGCTTTGTATAATATACTTGCATAGTAGTCTCAAGGTTTCTGCACACATAAGCCTTCTTTACCATAGCATTTACCTTTCTGCATATCTCCTAAAACATAGCTACATGCTAGACACTTACGGTTTACATACAAGAGATTTTATTCCCAATATTTACCCTCGTGGGAAATGGGATATTACAGCCGGAATGTACACTGACCCATCACCGTCCTATATTATATCTGTGATCCTATCTGACAGTGGCATCAATGATGAAAAGTTCAGAGAGGGAGGAGAGAGTGAGGGGTGTAGCTTACTCTGTGGAGAGTCATTTCAAACGCCTCATTCTTGATCCATGTGGCTGCTTCAATATTGGTGTCGTGACTGATGTGTTATCTAGTGTGGCTGGTATAATAAAACTAAAGTTTCAGTAGTAAGAGAAAAATACAGAGCTGAAAAATCTGCCCAATCAAGCATTTCCTGTTTCAGTCTTCAATGCCTGCATCTAGGCCTGCGGCGGGCATAAAACTTTGAATAATAGGCAAGTGTAAGAATCCGGAAGTATGCGGGAATAATCGGATGTTATGCGGAAGCGTCACGTGCACATGGATAGCCCCGCCCCCCTCACACGCGATATAATGGGCACGCGCAGCATCGGAACTCGATGTGAAATAACAATGTCCTCCGCTGGCGCCGACTCGGCCGTTACATTGTCCTCTACAAGCCTGCCGAGCTCCTCAGGCAAACTACAGAAAGTGACAAGGAGTCTGGATCCTGCACGTTGCAAGACTATGTCGAGTCATCAATCATGTTACAGTATAGTAAGCGTCATTGATTTGTCATGTGTCTTTTTGATGATTTTGCCTGGGAATAACTGGAGAATAATGGGCAGGGATAGAAAAATAAATGGGTAGAATCGAAGAGAAGTGCGGAATAGAATAATAGGAAAAACTTGTAGCATAATAGCCTCAGGCCTACCTGCATCCATCTGCTGACGACTCTAGGAACCAGATACTAAAATCGGACGCGGAAATATATGCGCATGCGCATAATTACGACCCGATCAGCGATCGCTCATTCGCTGTTGCAGCAACAGACGGTGGGTTAGGAAACCCAGAAAGTGGTAATGTCCCGCTATTAGGCCCTTATTTGTGTTGGGTTGGAGATGTCGACTGCTGCAATACCATTAGTCTTGGTCCTGGTCCTTTTTTCTATAATATTTCGGTGAATCATACACAAAAGCACGCAACTGTCAGGGTGAGTGGTGCAATTTCGCCTCTGCAGTTCAGTTTGCAGCAGCAGCGCTCTCAATGCATGAGCTGAACTATTATTCTTTCCCCTGCTCAGCACGCTGTTGTGAATGCTCCGCAGCCAGTCACTGCACCGCTGGGGAGCAACGCCACCTTCTACTGCACAGTCTTTTTCCCCCGAAAAATCGAGTGAAAGATCGATTGAGAGATCGATTTTTGACAGGCAGAGATCCCTTACTTTTGGCGGAAATGGCGTATATACCATAGTAGCTAATTGCACGTGTACGGAGCGCAGCTATATAGGCCATAATTATTAACCTTCGGCGCGCATGCGCAGCGAGGGTTACGGTAGTCTCTGTCTACGATTATTCTTGCACTACAGGCTACGAGGCGGCTTATGAGCGATACCAACAGCTTTAGCGGTAGACCAACAGATTTAGCGGTACATGGGCTAGAAAAATAAAATGGCGATTTTCCTGAAAAGACTGCGTTCAAAATGGGACACAAACTGACGGTGGGTAGGAAACCCGAAGTGGTATGTCCCGCTATTAGCCCTTGGGTTGGAGATGTCGACTGCTGCGAATACCATTCGTCTTGGTCCTGGTCCTCTATAATATTTCGGTGACGATCATACACAGAAGCACGCACTGTCAGGTGAGTGGTGCATACTTCGCCTCTGCAGTTTCACAGTTTGCAGCAGCAGCGCTCTCATGCTGAGCTGCTTATTCTTTCCCCTGCCCAGCACGCGTTGTGGAATGCTCCGGCAGCCAGGCACTGCACCGCTGGGAAGGGCACGCCACCTTCTAATCTTTCTACTGACTGCAACAGTCTTTTTCGAAAATCGAGTGAAAGATCGAGTGTGAGATCGATTTTGACAGCAGAGAGCCCTACTTTGGGGCGGAAATGGCGTCTATCCATAGTAGCTAATTTCACGTGTTACGGAGCGCCGTCTAGGCCATAATTATAACCTTCGGCTGACACGTGTCGCGACCGCGTTGCGTGGCCCACCCATCAATAGCGGTGCGCATGCGTATAATAGACGCGATCAACGCTGGCTGGGCTCCACCTCAACCTGATGTGTATGGCACGCGTCTGCCATAGATCCGCTTGCTCTGTGATACCTTGGAGGCACACTAACCCACAGCGCAGGGCGTGTATCGACTGACTCGCGACTGACTATCGTCTACCGTAGCTATCCCGTGTCAGACTCTCGCGAGCTACTAGCGGGCAGACAACTAGCGAGACAGCTCAAAGAGTAAGCGCCATAAGCCAGCCCATCCATTAGCGGTACCGTCCGCATCGCGCAATCGCCGAGGGTAGTTCTGTTCATTCGGTCAGGGGAGAAGAAAAACTTTGACGATTTTTTATAATGAGTTTCCACTTTATTCTTTCTTTCGCTGCGGGATGCTTGCTTTTTAGAGCTGTGAGTTTCGAGATGCCGCGGTCGAACTGTCGGCAATCGCGAGGCTCGATTTTCGTGCGCCATGAACCGCACAAAGTAGTAGCTAGGACACGGTCGCGGACCGCGTTGCGTGGCCCAACCCATCAATAAGCGGTGCGCATGCGTATAATAGACGCGATCAACGCTGGCTGGCTCACACCTCAACCTGATGTGTATGGCACGCGGTGCCATAGATCCGCTTTCTCTGTGATACCTTGGAGGCACAAGAAGCCACAGCGCAGGGCGTGTATCGACTTCCGCATGCTATCTACCGTAGCTATCCCGTGTCAGACTCTCCGCGAGCTACTAGCGGGAGACTGGGAGTCGAGTAAGCGCCATAGCCCAGCCCCATCCATTAGCGGTACCGCGCATGCGCAATTCGCCGAGGGTAGTGCTTTTCATTCGGGAGAAAGAAAAACTCTGACGATTTTATAATGAGTTTTCCACTTCTATTCTTCGCTGCGGGATGCTTGCTTTTTAGCAGCGGTGAGTTGCGAGATGCCAGCGGTCGAACTGTCGCAATCGCGAGCCTCGGTTTTCAGGCGCCACTGAACCCCACAAAGTAGTAGCTAGCTATACTTATAAAATTGAGATTTTGTTTCAGCTCTCTCTCAGAGTGTGGATGACTGTACAGACACGGTGCAGATTGTTGGTACAACGCAGGCTCCCAACCAGATAGATATTCCACTAGGAACTGTCTGTGTGGAGTGTGTTGTCAATGGAGAAGTAGTTTCTGACCCAACCACTACATTCCTCATTGGAAACTCACCAATCACAAGCCTGGATGGTGGAGTTCTGGTGGTTGATGATACTAGCATGACGTTCCAGGCATCCCCTGCCCTGACTTTGCGGTGTGTTAGTGGCTCAGGGGCTGTAAGACAGGCTTCAGTTTACTTGGACGGTATGTCTCCCATGTTTGTGTAAGTGTTATGTTTAAATGGTATTGTATTGTACAGTGTATCTACCTCCGATAATCACGGGAGCAACTACAGTCAATGAGGGAGGCAGGCTGTTCCTCACCTGTGACAGCACAAACTCCAACCGAGAACCGCTTTCACAGTGGTTCGACAAAGATGGCCAGATGGTGTCTTCATCTGGAGTACTGAATATCCCCAACATCATGAGGTCTCAGGCTGGGAGCTATACCTGTCGAACCTCTCCTCCAAACCTTGACAACTCTACCAGCACAACTGTGACAGTGGTCGTACAATGTGAGTGCATGTGTGTATATATAGTTATCTATGCACCAAGCTAAAAACAATCATTGCCATTAGTCCTACTTACTAGATCTGCCTGCCTGCCATTCCTCTCTCTGAGAACCAGGCATATGGCTAGGTGTCTACCAGGAACTAACGTTGACTACTACACACTATGTATCGAACAACTTTTAAGCTTGCACATGTGATTAGTGAATTTCTACTGAAATATTTTTGCTGTCTCCAAACTCTGGTTGTCAGTTCATAAGTCACAAACAGTTAACTTTGAGATGTCACTTCATTGAATGTTATGCATTCGTGATTCTTCTAAAATGATTATAGCTGTTGAGGATATGTGTGTTTATCCGGATAAAAATAATGAAAGCGGAGTTGTTGGGCAACAGGCACCCTCAAGCTTGTTTACTGCCATTTATAGGAATGAACTTAAAAATTGCACACCCTTAGTGCTACGTTGTGTAGTGTGTATTGTGTATAAGTGGATGGTACCACTGAACACCACAAAGTAGTAGCTATATAATTATATTGAGATCTTTTTTTCCCAGCTCTCCCTCAGAGTGTGGATGACTGCACAGCCACGGTGCAGATTGTGCAGATTGTTGGTACAACGCAAGCTCCCAACCAGATAGATATTCCACTAGGAACTGTCTGTGTCCAGTGTGTTGTGAATGGAGAAATAGACACAGCCACCACCACCACTTTCCTAATTGGAAACTCATCAATCCAGGAAGTGGTAGACAATGGAGTGCTGGTGATTGATGATACTAACATGACGTTCCAGGCATCCCCTGCCCTGACTTTGCGGTGTGTTAGTGGCTCAGGGGCTGTAAGACAGGCTTCAGTTTACTTGGACGGTATGTCTCCCATGTTTGTGTAAGTGTTATGTTTAAATGGTATTGTATTGTACAGTGTATCTACCTCCGATAATCACGGGAGCAACTACAGTCAATGAGGGAGGCAGGCTGTTCCTCACCTGTGACAGCACAAACTCCAACCGAGAACCGCTTTCACAGTGGTTCGACAAAAATGGCCAGATGGTGTCTTCATCTGGAGTACTGAATATCCCCAACATCATGAGGTCTCAGGCTGGGAGCTATACCTGTCAAACCTCTCCTCCAAACCTTGACAACTCTACCAGCACAACTGTGACAGTGGGCGTACAATGTGAGTGCTGTGTGTATATAATATAGTTATCTATGCACCAAGCTAAAAACAATCATTGCCATTAGTCCTACTTACTAGATCTGCCTGCCTGCCATTCCTCTCTCTGAGAACCAGGCATAAAACATTGACTACTACACACTATGTGTCCAACAACTTTAAAGCTTGCACATGTGATTAGTGAATTTCTACTGAAATATTTTTGCTGTCTCCAAACTCTGGTTGTCAGTTCATAAGTCACAAACAGTTAACTTTGAGATGTCACTTCAATGAATGTTATGCGTTCGTGACTCTTCTAAAATGAAAATAGATGTTGAAGATATGTGTTTATCCGGATATAAATAAGGAAAGCAGAGGTGTGGGCAACAGGCACCCTCAAGCCTGTTACAGTTGTACTACTGCCATTAGGAATGAACTTAAAAATTGCACACCCTCAGTGCTACACTGTGTAGTGTGTATTGTGTATAAGTGGATGGTAGCTACCACTGAACCCCACAAAGTATATAGTAGCTATACCTATAAAATTGAGGTCTTTTTACAGCTCTCTCTCAGAGTGTGGATGACTGTATAGCCACGGTGCAGATTGTTGGTACAGCGCAGGCTCCCAACCAGATAGATATTCCACTAGGAACTGTCTGTGTGGAGTGTGTTGTCAATGGAGAAGTAGTTTCTGACCCAACCACTACATTCCTCATTGGAAACTCACCAATCACAAGCCTGGATGGTGGAGTTCTGGTGGTTGATGATACTAGCATGACGTTCCAGGCATCCCCTGCCCTGACTTTGCAGTGTGTTAGTGGCTCAGGGGCTGTAAGACAGGCTTCAGTTTACTTGGACGGTATGTCTCCCATGTTTGTGTAAGTGCTATGTTTAAATGGTATTGTATTGTACAGTGTATCTACCTCCGATAATCACGGGAGCAACTACAGTAAATGAGGGAGGCGTGCTGTTGCTCACCTGTGACAGCGCAAACTCCAACCGAGAACCGCCTTCACAGTGGTTCGACAAAGATGGCCAGATGGTGTCTTCATCTGGAGTACTGAATATCCCCAACATCATGAGGTCTCAGGCTGGGAACTACACCTGTCAAACCTCTCCTCCAAACCTTGACAACTCTACCAGCACAATTGTGACAGTGGTCGTACAATGTGAGTGCGTGTGTAGGTGGTATACAGTTAGCTATGCACCAAGCTAAAACAATAATTGCCATTAATCCTACTTACTAGATCTGCCTACAGCAAGTACAACAAGCACTAGTACTGACACTAGAGCAACTGGAGTTGCTGTGGTTATCAGCACAATCGTCTCTGTATTGGTGTCCCTACCAGTGGGTGTGGCCATTGGTTCCTTTTTGTTCGCAATTCGTAGAGGAGGAGAAAGAGGAGAGAGGAAGAAGAAGAAGAAAGAGGAGTTTGGAGGAGCTATCTATGAGGAGCCAGTTCATTCAGTGAAGACTGCCATTCCTCTCTCTGAGAACCAGGCATATGGCCAGGTCTCCTCTCAGAGGTAGTAGAAGGAGGTGGTGAACTGTGTATTATAACATTACAGTATTATAGTTATGTAGTTTCATTCAGTGTATATATATTGTACAGTTAACTGTCATGTCAATTAGCTGCTCTTCAATAATTTACTGAACCAATGGACAGCAGAAATTATATCACTTTGTACTTGCATAGTAGTCTCAAGGTTTCTGCACACACAAGCCTTTTTACCATAGCATTTACCTTTCTCCTCAAACATAATTATGGCTACATACATTACTAGACACTTTGGATTTACATACAAGATACAAGAGATTATTCCAATATTACCCTCGCGGGGTTGTGGGGTGACTGCATGTGATAGTCACCATCCTCCTGAGCAAGTGTAGAGGACAGTGGTGTGTAGCTATGTCTGCTCTCAGCTTTGCCAGTGGAGTTCAGGGGTCATTCACTCCTCTCTGTCCTAGCTACCTAATGATATCTTCAACTAAACTTTGAAACGAGTAAATCTTGTGTGGTCCACGCAACACTTATATTTCACCTGCAGGTTCTGTGGCCATTACGTTCACAATCACTCTATTAGTGTTCCTACCAGTGGGTGTGGTCATTGGTTATGGAATTCATAAGAGATAATACGAAGCACTTATTTGGTATGATGCCAATGCTGGTGTTTATTTCAGTTCCACCTCAGCCTACAGTACAGTCTCTTGTCATGTATAATATTATACTGCGATGTTCCTTTGAGTGGTGGTAGACCTGTTTTCATCAATTGGATGGTCAGCTAGTTGTTAATTGTGTACACATGCACACAACATGTTGGCAATGTTATTCTAGAGGGGAGAGAGGGAGGTGGGGGTGGTGTATCCAGGAAAGGAGATGACAACAGTGGACCTGACTCCAGGAGGGACCATATGCTCTCTTCTCTCAACACCTAACACCAGTTGTACTGCTACCATTACCAATGATTGCAACAACTACAACATCTCTATCATACTCTCTAATGATGTCGGGTCTTCTCAACCTGTATATATCCATCATCTTTAACTGTGAGCTTCAGCATTTAAGTGTGTCTTTAGCAACTTCAGGAAGAACTTTACTCTGTAACGAGTTTTGATATGAATGGTGTCTCTCTATTAGCTGCCCCGACCACTTCCACCAGCATGTGCCGCCCGCACAACCAGTAGAGGAATTGAAAGGTAGCTTTTCTCACTGTTGGTGTACGTGGCTATATTACACAAAGAAGGCACACCGTACTTCAGTAAATTAATGCACAGAACTTAGGATATTGTCTCACATAATTATATCCCACACTGCCTGGATGTTGTTGAAAGCAATGTCCATGCTTGGTATCTGAACATGGACAAGGCTGTTGTGCTCTGTGTACTTATAACTGGTTAGCAGGTTATGCAATGCAGTTTTGAATTCCCTCAACCAGCCATTATTGTCTGCAGGGGAACCCCTCTCTAATGACACCCCTCAAATGAGAACACCTCTCTCTCCTTTTCCCCTAGAACAGTTTATTGCATGCATGTAACCTGGAATAAGGGCACCTCACAAATAAGGACATGTTCTTGTGTCCCATTGTGAGGTGTTCCACTGTTGCTATAATTATCATGAATCCCCATAGGACCACAGCGTAACCAAATAGTGAGCATACTGGATGGTGTGGACTGGGTGGAGCTGGCTAACCAACTGAATCTAAAAGATGAGATACATGCCATCGCTGGTGCTTGCCAACAAGAAAACCCAGTAGCATGCAGGTTGAGACAAATTGTAGATAGATTCATAAACTCCCATGACCTTGAACCGTGTTATATGACTGTGGAGAAGATTGCAGGTGCTCTTGAGACACTTCAATTTCCACATACCAAGAAAGCCGACCAACTGAGAAGAAGAGTGTGCCCCTCAACAGGTGGGCCATTGTCACAGACATTGCAAACATAAACCCATTCACAAGGTATAACTAGGTGTCTATTAGGTGCCCTCCAATTAGTTGTTTATTTGCAGGACAGCATCACTACCAGAGGCAATCGTAGCACTCAGATTTGTAGCTAGTGCTCAGTATCACACTTTTCATTATTGGAGCTGTTCCGCACTTGCTGTTCCGCGCTTGCTGTTCCGCACTTGCAGAATCATAGCATCAAACACATGACAATTAAACTGCGGTGCACACAGAGGGAGTGTCAGTTCAGCACACAACTGACATGTTCCAGTAAAGGTACTTTGTCAGCACACAACACAGGACAGTACCACTAGGACCACACGGAGACAGGTCTCTTGTCCAGCTACCTGGCCGCATGTCTGCCTTACTGTATAGCTAGCTACCAGAAAGTATGAAATATGGCTACGAAACATGCAACCACGAAAACATGAAAGTATTCAAGAAAGAATACAGCTAGGGAGAGCAGTCTCTGATCTTCTCTGAGACAGCCAACTATTGAACCTCCATAATCAACAGTGGCGAGGGTTATGCACTTTCCAGTGTTTTTCTATTTTCATTGTCTAGTCTAACCCCTAGCCCCGTTCCCTTATACCGCAGTGTGAATTGACTGTTTCTGTTCTCTAGTGACCTTTGTTTAGTAAATAAAGTACATTTCGAGGGGGATAGCTATAAGGGACGGCAAAAAATGAAGAAACTATTGGGTCATTACCGACGCCTTGATCAAAGACATTAATAATGAGGCAGAGATTGAACACTACTGGAGGGGGGAGCAAAGACATACTTGATACTTGCTGATAATCAACCCCGGAAAATGTGTGGAGTCTTGGGTGCCTCAAAACTCCCGTCACTGTGAAGCTTTAAATATGGTCTAAAGGGATGCCATGACTACTTTTTGTTTCACCGGTTTTGAGGATAGAAGCTCCCACATAGTTCTTCTATATGGATACAACGAAAGTTTCTCCTTTTGCAACTGTGTCATAGTGTGTATATAGAGTAGCATAAACACACAGACCACCGTCCCTGTCCTGCAACGAACATAGAGTGGCTAAAATGAATCGGGAAACTGAGTTTTGGTGCTGCATCTTTCTCTGTGTTAATTTGGCGTCAGTGTTGTTGGCCACTGGTTGCCCAACCTGGCACTACTACAACAATGCCACAGGAAAGTGCGAGTGTGGATATGGCCTAGTCTGCAGCAGTGATGGCAACCAGGTGGTGATTGGAAATGCTTTCTGCGCAACATCCTCGGGGCATGATGGTGACTACTATAACGGTGCTTGTCAAGTCAAGCCAACTACCAATATTAACAGAATGTATTCAGAGATGCCCAGCAATGCTAGCCAGTTGGATGAGGTGATGTGTGGTCCTTACAACAGAAGAGGTTTGCTGTGTGGGGAGTGTAAGGATGGCTATGGTCCTGCCGTCTACTCACTTGACCAGAAATGTGCCAAATGCTCAAGTCCCTGGGCAGGATTTACTGTCCTCATCTTTCTTCAGTTTGTTCCAACAATGTTAATCTACATCTGTTTGGTCCTGTTCCGTTTGAACATCACCTCAGGCCCACTCCTGGGATATGTGTTCTTTTGTCAGATAAGCATTGTGACAGTTGTAGCTGACAGACACCATTTCATACATGGCTACATTCAATCACACGTGTCAGCACCGCTAAGACTTTTATTCGCCTTTTCAGCTACATTTTCTCAGTTTTGGAACTTGCAGTTTTTCAAGGCCATAGTTCCACCAATTTGTATCAGTGAGAAACTGACTGGGATCCATGTTCATATGCTTAATTTTCTCCCAGCCATCTACCTACTTGTTCTTGTCATCCTATCCTGTATTCTCATTGAGCTGCATGCAAGAAACTTCGCAATTGTTAGAATTCTGTGGAAGCCTTTAAATTTCATTCTCAGTAAAACTAACATCAAAATAGAGACGACTGATGCTGTGTTTCATGCCACTGCATCGTTAATCTTACTGTCAAATATTTCTGTGTTATCAGCAACAAGTCAACTGATAGATTCAACTAACATATATAACTCGACTGGTGTTTTTCACAAGAAAATCTTTTTTATTGATCCAACAATGGACTGGTCCAGCCGCAAATCTATCCCATACCTACTCATCACAGTAGTTATTTTTATCTTGTTTACGCTGATTCCGTCCCTCCTTCTCTGCATATACCCAACAAGGGTGTACCGATATCTGTCAAGGTTTCTGAGTGCCAGGAAGCGACTGGCCATCACAGCATTTGCTGAGGCTCTCCACAGCTGTTTCAAAGATGGTCTGAATGGAACTAATGACTACAGACAACTGGTTGGAGCAACAGTTTTTATTATCCTGTTCTACACAGCTATTCGTAATATTATTGTAAGTTATAATGAGCTAGAAGAAATGATGTCGATGATACTGGTTGGGATAGCCTCATATGTAAGACCATGCAAGTCACAAATTGCAAACATCTCCCTCAGTTTTCACATAACTCTCCTTGGGATTCTTATTCGTGTGTCTCATCTGTGGGAGAATGATATTTTCGGTTTCAGCACACAAACTAGTACTGATGGTGGTTTTCATCCTTCTTACACCACACATTCTGGTGGCTCTGTGGGCCGGCTATACCTTGACCAAACACACACTGACAAGGTTTGGATATCAGTTCCATGGCAATGGTTGCAAGGTGGTGTTGCGTGACATGGCAAATGGTGTGAGACGATGCCTCTACAGACAGCACAGGGGCTACCAGGAGATGCTTCCATAAGAAGCAGTGCTTTACTAAATTCAACTAACAGCACTCTGCATATTTTTGGACCTTGCCTTTGTTTATATTTGGACTTAATTTTGTTAATTACGACTCATGATCAACTTTTTTTTACATTTCACAGGAAATGAACTTAGGGCTATGAGCAAGAGGGGTTAAGATGGGAGATTATGCCTGTCGTATGCTCTACAATAACCCTGAAAACGAAAGTAGTCTTGTTCTCACATACAAAAGGAGTCTGACCTAGATTGCAGAACATAAATGGCATGTGCATGTGTATGTGTATGTACGTATGTAGTTGAGTATGTGAAGTCTTGTATGCATCATACCTAGTTCAACAGTGACGATACAATGGATTTGATCCTACTATAATATATATATAGATGCTTGCTCCTTTCCCTTGTCGGTGGAGCAAATAGCAAAGATATGGGGTCAGTTTGTAGCTACTAGAGAGAAAAGCTTTTCAAACGAGTGAAAATAAACTGCATTATCAGATGCTTCGAAAGTGAATCAGATGTACATGCTGAATTAGAGTATACTGTGCCATACACCCAAATAAAGTTGTTGAGGTGTTGTTATGGGTATATTTAATGGGTAGCTACTGCATTGTTCATAGCTGCATCTGTTTCTCTTTTGCCATGTTCACTGTTGGGCCAAACACTTTTAGGTCTATACCCGCAATCTCAAAGTCCAACTTTTCAGCAACTATTTCATCTTTTCACAAAATTCCGCAGTGAGAAGAACCTGAAATCTGCACCAGTTTCAGCCTTTCAAAACAGAACCCAAAACCAAAACTTTCACTGCTTTTGGGTTCTGTTTTGAAAGGCTGAAACTGGTGCAAATTTTAGGTTTCTTCTGTGGAATTTTTGAAAAGGTGAATAGTTGCTGAAAATTTGGACACCTAAAAGTGTTTGGCCCAACAGTGCACTTATGATGCTTACTAGTCAATGACAGACTCCGGACTAACTGAGTGAGCCAACAACCGACAATTTTGCATAAAGAAACGAAGTGTTATGATTGTAGCTTTGTGTGTCTTTGCTGTGTTATAAACCCTTGTTTTGTTTCCTTTCTGTATACTGCAGTGTTTCGAGCCACACCCATATCCCGTCTCATATTATAGCTACACATCTGTGCACAAGATTCATTGGATTATTGCCAGTAGCTACTCCGTTTATAAGCAAACCCATAGCTGGTGATACAGTTAGCAACAAGTACGAATATAGGGATATATAGTATAAAAAGCAATGAGACAAGACAGGGATGACCTAGTGCAATAGTATATTATGATGGCTACATAATTATTTCAAACTGACATTGTTTGCTCACGTACATTTTCCTTCACACATGTCCCATTTTTCGTGAAGCTAATGACTCATTTCCCAATGAAAAGCACTAAAGTGCAAACCCTCGGCGGAGACGCGTGTGAGATAGACACTGGGTTCCATGTCAAAGCAAAGTTGAGGAAGACCGCCTATATACACAAGCGTTTTGTGAAAGGCTGCAGACGAGGTAAGCATGCTACCAAGTGAGGCACATCTTTCGCTGTGCATCTGCCATGTTTTAGCTCAACAATAGGCTTGGTACGGGATTAGAATATCTGGCGCATGCGCAAACATATCGTGCCAGCCACGCGCGCGTAAGTATGCGCTTGTGTTGTACTGCTAATTGATGGGCTGGGCCATTTTACCGTCTCCTTCCTACCAGGTCGCTGAGAATCGGTCACGGGCTAGCTACGCTACTAGATGACATGCGAGAGTCGATACACGCCCCGCATTGCAACCCCTGGTGCCTCCGCGCATCTCGAGGTAAGCCCATGAGAATTTGCATATTGGCTCGTTCACTTGGTTTTCACGCCGTAACTCCCAAACGCAGCAGTTTCAGAGAAAACCCCACATAATTTTCGACCTTTATCCGACGCTGAATACGTGGTATCGTTTGTGGAGCGATGATTGCTCGTGGAGCTGAGTGAGATAGCTCACGGACAGACAGACAGACCGACACACGACAACTATCTAGCTGCGCATGCGCGCCGAGGGCAATGCAGAGGTGTTGCCTTCTCTAACAGTTCCTCGGTTTGAGTTTGACTGCAGTCTACTAACTAGTTTTACAATGCTGCCCTTTACAGGATCCCTTCACCATTTTCCTCACACTTGACACCATAAACAAACACATGCTGGCGACAATGGCTTTAACTAGCTACCTGGTTTTTGAGACTGAACAACAACAAGAATTTTGAACACTGACTTTTTAATGGGACACCAAGAAAACCTGAGCTTTTCATTGGGAAATGTCCTTGTTAGCTAGTTACAGGGGTGTCCTTTTAGAGAGGATCCACTGTCGGCTGCAAAGGTGGGTATAGCACCCACTTACACACCACTGAAAAGTAGTTTGATGAGCAGACCATCTCTCCTTGTGTGAGGGTCTGGCTGAGACCTTTGGCTTGTGTCGCAGTGCCTGGCTGGCCAAATATGTACAAAGCCACATGACACCATCCCTATATCTTTGTCTCATATTACACTTTGCTTATGAACAATAAAACAAAGATATAGGGATGGTGTCATGTGGCTTTGTGCATATTTGGTGTGTAATGACCCCTTGTTTCTTCCTTTTTGGTGCTTCAAGTCATCCCTATATCCCACTTTCATTTTGAAGAAATGATTTTTCCACTTGTTTCCACTATTTTTAACAGCTTATGACAACACTGCATTTTCAGTCACTCTGATGTTCATGGTTGTAGAGATAACTGTTGAAAGCAGAACTGCTCTTATACCTGAAGCATGGTGTATGCGCAGTGTTTCCAACAAGGACGGATTAGGTTGTGGCATATATGGTGGTGGTTTCATTGGGCAGGCTTCAGAAATCAGACTACTATAACCTGGGGAACAAAGAATGAAGGCGCGTTGTAGAGATAACTGTTGAAAGCAGAACTGCTCTTATACCTGAAGCATGGTGTATGCGTAGTGTTTCCAACAAGGACGGATTAGGTTGTGGCATATATGGTGGTGGTTTCATTGGGCAGGCTTCAGAAATCAGACTACTATAACCTGGGGAACAAAGAATGAAGGCGCTGGGCAAGGCACGCGTAACACGGCGCAGATTGCCAAGTTGCTCCTCGCGCAAATCAACAGCAAAACGCAAGCTAGCCACTTACAAATGTGTACACTGACTTACAGAAGGCACTGGAGGATGAGAGTCGTTTTCTCTGCAGGCATCCAGTCCTGGCTTAGTCTCGTTCGTGGACCAGGTTTACGAGACAAAATACGCGGGCACAGCATTGGAAACGCCCTCCTCTGCGCATGCGGCTCACTGATGCTGAGTTAGCAGCAAATGGCGTTGTTCAGTGACTACCGAGGAAGAGCTCAACGGTCTACCGTAGTGACTTGCGGCAAGAAACAAGCGATCGCTTGATATGCGTGCACACCTCCGGCAAATTTGAAGACGTTCTGTGAAAAAATTAGCGCTTCAACTTGTTCCAGTAAGGAGAAAGCGGGTCTAAAGAAGAAGAAGAAGAAGAAGATGATTATGATGACACGCAAATCGTGAAATCGCGTATGAGCGAATTCTCGCGTGGACGACTGAAGGTGCGTATGAGGTCTTGGGGGACATATATAGGTAGATATGGGCCCGTAGACTATTGCTAGTATGTTTTGAAGGCCTAGGGAGTTATTCTCACCGAGTTTTTAGTCGTTTTGCGGATCACGTGAGATTTCACCCGTGTCGTCCCTATATAGAGAGTCTACCGACTCTCTGATAATACTATTCTGGCAAACTACTTTTAAGCTTCATTCCCCATACTATCACGTGTTAGCAGTCTACACCCCACAGACACAGAGCAACTGTAATCTACCATGCACTCTGTTCTGCTTTTCCTTCACACTACACAGTTCCATACCAAACGGGCATTATCGTACTGTTGGTGCTTTATTAGAGGGAGGAGCTCACCCTGATATACATACTCCAGGTCATCCCTATCTTGTCTCCTTGCTTGTTATGGCATCCTTATATTCCACACTTTTTAATTCAAAGAATATTATGTTTACTTGTTAAAGTGCGGTGCACACAGAGGGAGTGCCAGTAAAGTGACTTTGTCAGGACAAAATTGACATGTTCCATGATCACACAGACAGATTTGTTTCTCCTGTCCAGCTATCTGGCTGTCTGTCTCTGTTACTATTATAATTATAGCTACCAGAAAGTTGTGCAAGGACAACAATCATATCAAATGTCCGGAGGAATGGACCCCTGCTGTATGATTAGTCCTGGTCTCAGTACCAAACTTGGCTGGGGCAAAATCAATGTAAATCACTGGGGAGGTAAAGAGACCACCAAATCCCATAGCTACTGGTCAGGGGGAATGAATATCATGTGGCTCACGTGCTGGTATCAGAAGTATACTCATCGTCTCAATTCTTGTTCATGGACATCAGCTTACTGATGGCAACAAAGGTTGAGAGGTTATCGGGTTTGTAATGATTGTAACAAATAATTTTAGTTGCGCGCCGAAGGTTAATCATTAAGTTTTCTGTTATCCATTGTCTAGTCTAACCTGTAGCCCTATTCCCTTTCGTGACAGTCATTTAGTATAATTATAGTTAACAGAAAGTTTACAGTTTACAGCTGGAAAAATAATTTCAAGGAGGATATATATAGCTAGGAATGGCAAAAAGGAAGAAACTTGCATAGTTCCTTATAATATTGACAGCTTACTGTAAGGAAAAGATCTCAGTCAAGACTGATGGGGCAAAATAAATGTAAATGACTGGGGAGGTAAAGAGACCACCCAATTCCATAGCTACTGGTCTGGGGGAATGAGTATCCTGTGGCTCACGTCCTGGTATCAGAAGTACTCCTCATCTCAATTCTTGTTCATGGACCTCAGCTTACTGCTGGCAACAAAGGTTGAGAGGTTATCGGGTTTGTAATGATTGTAACCAATAATTTTAGTTACCTTGTCAGCAGGTTTGCTTTCAGTTTTCGCATGTAAAAAAACAACGAAACTCTTTCTGTATAGAGAGTAACGTAAACACACAGACCACCACTCCTGTCCTGCTACGACATACAGTGGCTAAAATTTATCGGGAAACTGAGTTTTGGTGCTGCATCTTTCTCTGTGTTAATTTGGCATCAGTGTTGTTGGCCACTGGTTGCCCAACCTGGCACTACTACAACAATGCCACAGGAAAGTGCGAGTGTGGATATGGCCTAGTCTGCAGCAGACAAGCATTGTGACAGTTGTAGCTGACAGACACCATTTCATACACGATTCTTTCTGTTATTGTCTGTGTTTTTGTATGCTTGGGTATGTTATTGTCTGTGTTTTGTGTGCTTGGGTGAGGGAGGTTCTTTCTTTTCCACTGATATTATTCTTTTAGCTAGTATGCTATAAACATGTTTTTCATGACTACATTCAATCACACGTGCCAGCGCCGCTAAGATTTTTATTCGCCTTTTCAGTGAAAATAATTATCTCAGTTTTGGAACCAGCAATTTTTCAAGGCCATAGTTCCACCATTTTGTATCAGTGACAAACTGACTGGCATCCATGTTCATGTGCTTAATCTAATACCAGCCATCTACCTACTTTTTCTAACATCAAAATAGAGACGGCGATAGAGATGCTGTGTTTCATGCCACTGCATCGTTAATCTTACTGTCAAATATTTCTGTGTTATCAGCAACAAGTCAAGTGATAGATTCAACTAACATACATAACTCGACTGGTGTTTTTCACAAGAAAGTCTTTTTCATTGATCCAACAATGGACTGGCCCAGCTGCAAATCTATCCCATACCTACTCATCACAGGAGTTATTTTTATCTTGTTTACGCTGATTCCGTCCCTCCTTCTCTGCATATACCCAACAAGGGTGTACCGATATCTGTCAAGGTTTCTGAGTGCCAGGAAGCGACTGGCCATCACAGCATTTGCTGAGGCTCTCCACAGTTGTTTCAAAGATGGTTTGAATGGAACTCGTGACTACAGAGCACTGGCTGGAGGGACAGTTTATGTTGCTTTGCTTTCCTCTCTAATAAGCAGGTGTTTCCGATATATTTTTGATTCCGGCAGTGTCTCTGAATTCGTTGAAACAATGGTGTGGATGACACTAGCTTGTGTAGTCACATATTTGAAGCCTTGCAAATCAGCAGTTGCAAACTTGTCTCTTGGTTTTCACATGATTCTGTTTGGGATTCTCATTTCTGCAATTAACCTGTGGGAGCATGATCTTTCAGTTGAAACCTACACACTTGAACTGATCATTATCGTCACTCTTCTCTCGTCACACATTCTGGTGGCTCTGTGGGCTGGCTATACCTTGACCACACACACACTGACAAGGTTTGGATGTCAGTTCCATGGCCCTGATTGCAAAGTGGCATTGAGTGACATGGCAAACGGTGTGAGACGATGCCTCTACAGACGGCACAGGGGATACCATGAGATGTTTCCATAAGCAGCAGTCCTTGACTAAATTCAGCTAACAGCACTCTGCATATTTTTGTACCTTGCCTTTGTTATATTTTGGACTGAATTTTGTTAATTACGACTCATGATCAACTTTTTTTACATTTCATTGGAAATGAATTTAGGGCTATGAGCAAGAGGGGTTAAGATGGGAAATTATGCCTGTTGTATGCTCTAAAATAACCCTGAAAACGAAAGTAGTCTTGTTCTCACATACAAAAGGAGTCTGACCTAGATTGCAGAACATAAATGGCATGTGCATGTGTATGTGTATGTACGTATGTAGTTGAGTATGTCAAGTCTTATATGCATCATACCTAGTTCAACAGTGACGATACAATGGATTTGATCCTACTATAATCAGAGAGTCGGTAGACTCTCTATATAGGGATGACACGGGTGAAATCTCACGTGATCCGCGTACAAAACGACTAAAAACTCGCTGAGAATCACTCCCTAGGCCTTCAAAACATACTAGCAATAGTCTACGGGCACATATCTACCTATACATGTCCCCCAAGACCTCATACCCACCTTCAGTCGTCCACGCGAGAATTCGCTCATACGCGATTTCACGATTTTGGTGTCATCATATTCTTTTTCTTCTTCTTCTTCTTCTTCTTCTTCTTTAGACCCGCTTTCTCCTTACTGGAACAAGTTGAAGCGCTAATTTTTTCACTGAACGTCTCCAATTTCGCCCGAGGTGTGCACGGACATCAAGCGACCGGTTCTTTCTCGCCGCTAGTCACTACGGTAGATCATGGAGCTCTTCCAAGGTCGACACTGAACAACGCCATTTGCTGCTAACTCAGCATCAGTAAGCCGCGCGCATGCGCCAGGCAGGGGCGTTGTCCACATGCGCTTGCGAGCGTATACCAGGCGAGTTGGCAGACCTGCAGAGGAACTGTCAGCTTCCAGTACCTTCTGTAAGTAAGTGTGCACATTTGCAACTGGCTAGCTTGCTGTTGATTTGCACGAAGAGCAACTTGCCAGAGTCTGCGCGGTGTTACGCGAGCCTTGCGGGGCGTCCAGTCCATCGGCCCCCAAGGTTTGTAGCCTGATTACCAAAGCCTGCCCATGAAACCACAACCATGTGCAATAATCTAATTACATCCGTGTTGAAGACGAGGTGAATGTGGTATCCAGCCCCTGCTTCAGGCACTAGCAGCCCTATTAGCTACTACTACAGTTACAATTTGTCTATAGTAGCCTATCTACAACATGCCCATGAACATCAGAGTGACTGTAGCAATAAATGCAGTGTTGTCATAAGCTGTTAAAAAATAGTGGAAACAAGTGGAAAAATCATTTCTTCAAAATGAAAGGGGGATATAGGGATGGCTTGAAGCACCAAAAAGGAAGAAACAAGGGGTCATCACACAGCAAAGTTGCACAAAGCTACATGACACCATCCCTATATCGTTGTTTTATTGTTTATAAGCAAAGTTTAATATCGAACAAAGATATAGGGATGGTGTCATGTAGCTTTGTGCAACTTTGCTGTGTGATGACCCCTTGTTTCTTCCTTTTTGGTGCTTCAAGCCATCCCTATATCCCCCTTTCATTTTGAAGAAATGATTTTTCCACTTGTATATATATAGATGCTTGCTCCTTTCCCTTGTCGGTGGAGCAAATAGCAAAGATATGGGGTCAGTTTGTAGCTACATGTGTAGAGAGAAAAGCTTTTCAAACAAGTGAAAATAAACTGCATTATCAGATGCTTCGAAAGTGAATCAGATGTTGCTACATGCTGAATTAGAGTATACTGTGCCATACACCCAAATAAAGTTTTTGCAGTGCTGTTATGGGTACATTTAATGGGTAGCTAGATACTGCATTGTTCATAGCTGCATCTGTTTCTCTTTTGCCATGTTCACTGTTGGGCCAAACACGTTTAGGTCTATACCTGCAATCTGGATGTCCAAATTTTCAGCAACTATTCACCTTTTCACAAAATTCCACAGAAAGAAACCTAAAATCTGCACTAGTTTCAGCCTTTCAAACAGCACCAAAAACACCACTTTCAATGCGTCATCCACCTTTCCGCTCATCGTGCATCTGCCACGTTTTAGCCACTCTAACAATAGGGAATATTAGCATTAGAATATCTTGCGCGCTATGCGCGAACATATCGGTGCCAGCCACAGTATGCTACTCTACTAGCGAGAGTCAATACACGCCCCGCAACATAGCAACCCCTGGTGCTACCGGCGCATCTCCGGGCTAGAGAGCGCGCATCTCGGGGTAAGCCCGTGCATAATGGCTCGTTCAATTGGTTTTCACGACCGTAAACTCCCGCCGACGCAGCATGTTTCAGAGAAAACCCCACATAATTTTCGACCTTTATCAGGACGCGGATCGTTTGTGGAGCGATGGATGTCATCGTGAAGTGGAGATAGCTCGCGGACAGACAGACAGACCGACACCTGCCGCCGTCCCCGTACCCTCGCTGACGCATGCGCCGATGGTTAATACATGCACATGGTGTGACTCTCTGTAGCAGTGCTGGCTTCATCAGACCATTATAGTCACTCTCTGGGGAGCTGCCTCAAGCCCCCTTCATTTCATAGATTTCCACTGTGAGCCATGTGAGATAGATCTACAACAAGGTACAGTACTGCGTGGAGGCCTCTTGCAAAGGCCAGGTCATTGCTGAAAAGTAAGAGGACTGTGGACGTCCTTAACAAATGAA